TCTTGTTTCTGTACTCTTTTCCTCAGCGAAAGCGTGTTTGATTCAGCTTGTCTGCTTAGTGGTTTGAAAGCCCGTGAAATAGAGACCAGCTTGTTTATGATTAGACTATCACTTGAAAATACTGCCCGTAAACTTGCTCAACATTCTGCATTCGCATTTGGACATGGTCTTTTACAGGTGAGCGCAGAAGTTTTATTTTAATTTTCTCAACTATGCTCACCCTGCTTAATGTTGCATGTCAATTATAATGGTGTTTTCCTGTGTTCGTTACAAAAATAAATTTCTTTGGTACTTGTAAGAGTTAAGTTTACCGGTTCTTTATTTTTTTGGGAAATAAAAGGATTGATAAATTTCACACACCTTTATGTTCTCTTTCTAGTTTCACTTTTTGCTTTTAGTTTGGTTTTGTTTCAAAAATCATTTGGACGCTTGAAGCTCTTCTGCTGCTTAATTATTGGGCTAATTTCCACATCTGACGATTCAGTAGAATGAACTTTAAAAATCCAGATGTTTGAAAAGGAAGTAATGGTAGAAAGAAGCGTAATTCCAAGGTTCATATTGGTTTTTGTGATGCTGATAACAAAGTGTTTTTTAATTTTTTGGTTTAGTGAGCAGTTTTTCGAATTACAGTTTCCTTTTTCAGACCAAGCATTTCTGGTTTTTGATTAAAAAAGGAGCATAAATTGGAATAGTGAGCGTAGGTTTTTCAAAAATAGTATCTTAAAATACCTTTGAATTGCGTTTTCAGGCTGCCGTACGCTAGTTCAAATTTTTTTTTTTCAGAAGAGTAAGGGCATTGTTAAAGGGTAAATGAATCTTGATTGAAGACTTGCACTTATTAAAATTAATTTCGTCATAACCTTCACTTCATAAATTTACTACAATTTCTTTGCTGTTGACTTTATATTTCGCTTTCTATTGAGCACATAATTATTATGTATGTGGTTTAAAGTAAATTGAATATTACCGTGTATCAGAAAAGCTCTGTGACAGAGATAAGTTCAAATATGCTAAAAACTCGTACAAAGCAGTGGGTGAGAAGAAGCTTATTAATATTTTCCAATCTTAATGCCAGAATTGAAAGTATTTTTTCTCATTGAAATACACTTTTATGATACGTCAGTAATTAACCTTCTGTTCTCTGTATGAAACTAGTCTTTTAATTAGGTTTTTGAATTATTACAGATCGATTCTGCTTTCGAACACCTTCAGAAGTACGCTACAGCAGTTACTCCGCTGCTAACTCATTTTGAAGTGACGGTGGACGACAGTAGAAATCGTGGAATTTATTTACGAGAATTTTGGGAAACTCGGCACTCATCGAATTTCACGATAAACGTCGAGCCAAAATTTAAACCGCAGTCAGGTTAGTGCAGTAAAATTTAAGGTTGGAACAAAATTAATTATACTTTCAAGTGTTTGACTTTAAAATCTGCTTTGATTTGACTCGGAAACAAAGTTTTGCATCAGAATTAGAACCGTCAGCACTAACACTAAAGTTGATAATACGGTTTGACTTAATTTCTGGAAAACCTACATTGACAAACTTTATATAGTTTGAAGAAGACATTTTTGACTTGCTAACTGCGTTGCTAATGCATAATCGTCTTGTAAACATCAATTTACGCTGAAGGTCATGCTCAGAAAAGAAGAGATTTGGAAAATATGCTCTATGTTGATAGTGTGTTATTTTCAAATCTATTATTATCTCTGGCCATCTTTGAAATATGAGGTCTGACGTCGTCTTACAAAAACACAGATTATTTTTTGATAGCCATTGTTGACTAAAAATTTTGCATTTTCTCAAATAAAATTTTAAGCCGCAAATTTGTTCTCCTTTGGCTGCTTAACTATTTTAACAGTGCTGTGTCATGATACTCGTATGATACTCCTTTACAACACCACCAGAAAGATAGCAGTTTGTTTTAAGGTATGGATCAGATTTGAAAGAAATGAGAAGTTGCACAGTGTTGTCAGGCCATAAATATCCAAGCATACCGGTAAAGTAAAGAAGCAATTTTCTTGTCTTCACTCGAAATGCAATCCTTAGATAGTTTCTAGTACTCCTTCCTAAGTAACCATCACATACTTTCATATGGTACAGTCTCCGGTTTCCAACCAAATTGTGAGGACTCAACTTTGGTAGCCGTCTCAGCACACTCGTTTCTCCAACATGCTTTCAAAGTGTAGCTCACTCTAGCATTTTCTCCTAAAGCTCTATTGGGCTGTTTCTAGTGTTCTTTGCAACTTTGGAACTGTTGTAGATGTCTGCAGATTTCCATCCAAAGCTAGTGTTCCTTTCAATACTTTTATTCCGATATCCAAAGCTTCTCTACTAAACTGAACTATTTATTATAGGCGCTTCTAAACCATCACATTTTGATTGTAGTGCAGGTTGCTTCTGCTGCTTAGTTCCCATGTTTTTATGATAGCGACTTTTGTTTGGACGAATATAGCATTTTTTATCTTAGTCTTCTTGCTTGCAGAAGTTCCATTTCAGGAATAGATTGCAAGTTCAAAATTTTTTGAAAA